GCATTCCCAAGCAAGTGCTAAGCGACAAAGGTAGTCAGTTTACCCCCACCATGATGGAGGAAGTATTCCGTCTGCTGTCGGTAAAAGGACTGCGCACATCACCCTACCAACCGAGTTGCACCGGACTATGCGAGCGATTCAATGGGACGCTAAAAACATGCTGAGGAAGATGGCAGCTGACCAACCAAAGGAATGGCCTCCCTACGTTGCTCCCTTGCTTTTTGCTTATCGCGAGGTTCCGCAGAGTTCCCTTAAGTTTTCGCCATTCGAATTGCTGTGTGGGAGAACCGTTCGAGGACCCCTGCATATATTACGTGAATTGTGGGATGACAAGCATCCTGACCCAGAAGTAAAGACCACTTACGTCTATGTCATTGACCTCGCTGACCGTCTTCAAGCTACAATAGGAAAACAAAGCTTCGTCAGATGAACGTTGGGGACAAGTGTCTGGTCTTACTCCCCACTGTGCACAACAAACTACTGGCGCAGTGGAAGGGCCCTTACGACATTATCCAACGTGTATCTGACTACAATTATATTATCAAAGTAGGAAATCATCGGAAAAGATTTCACATAAATATGATAAAACGATACTAACTACTCCCGTGAAGAAGGCGGTGCGGCTATTGTAGGCTGATGTAGTCCAAAATATTACCAGCACGATTATCCATCCTTAGGAATACCTGGACTCCGTGAATGGTCACCTGAACAACAGCAGTACCTAGTGAGGATCACTACTGCCCGGATAACTCCACCATTTGTGGTCACCTGAACAACAGCGGTACCTAGTGAGGGTCACTACTGCCCGGATAACTCCACCATTGGTGGTCACCTGAACAACAGCAGTACCTAGTGAGGGTCACTACTGCCCGGATAACTCCACCATTGGTGGTCACCTGAACAACAGCAGTACCTAGTGAGGGTCACTACTGCCCGGATAACTCCACCATTGGTGGTCACCTGAACAACAGCAGTACCTAGTGAGGGTCACTACTGCCCGGATAACTCCACCATTGGTGGTCACCTGAACAACAGCAGTACCTAGTGAGGGTCACTACTGCCCGGATAACTCCACCATTGGTACAGCCGCCGTGGTCCCTACCAGTGACGATGAACACGAACTTATCACTGTACAAGCCCAGCAGGTGGAAACAGTTGATGATATAACCCTGGGGACAAATCTCTTTGACCGGGAGAAGGAACAAGTTATGACCTTTCTACGCCGATTTTCAGATATTTTGTCGGACAAGCCTAAAGTTGGCTTGGGTGATAATTATACCATACAATTCATTAGTTCAACACCTGTATGGGTAGCACCATACATCATTCCTCAGGGACTGGTGGAGCGGGTCAAGCAGGAAATTGGACAGATGGAAGCAGCAGCCATAATTGAAAAGTCTTCATCATCGTATTGCAGTCCCCCGTAGTAGTCCAGAAGAAAGATGGAGGTGTGAGAATTTGCGGTGATTACCGGCGGGTGGATGCAGAGGGTTATATTCTCCGGACTATCCGGCTCAAAGGTGTTCTCCAAATTAGATCTAACAAAAGGTTTTTTCCAAATCCCTCTTCTTCCATACAGTCGACCAATCGCAGCTTCCAGCACTCTTAATGGGTTGTACCGGTATACAGTTCTCGCTTTAGGCCTCGTTAACAGTCCTGCTGTTTACAACAGAGCAATGTGGTAGGTCCTGCACGATGTTCGCGGAGTGGAAGTCTTCGTGGATGATAACCTCATTCACACGGCCACAATTGAAGAGCATATCAGTATCCTTGCACAAGATTTCCAGAGGCTTCAAGATTTCAACCTTACCGTTAAGCCCAGCAAATGCGAGATCGGCCGAGATCAAGTTAAATTTTTGGGACACACTGTAGGAGGAGGTAGATGCAGTTGGCAGCGAGACAAGATCAAGAAGGTTCAGGACGCTGAGAGGCCCACCAAGTAAGACCCTTCCTGGCCCTTGCCGGATACTACAGGGATTTCATCCCAAACTTCGCAGAGATTGCGCTACAACTCTACGAACTTTAAAAAAAACATGCACCAAACAAATTCCAATGGACTTCTCACCACGAAGATTCAATCAAAACCTTGAAAAATCTGCTGTGTAAAACAATCAATTCTTCAGTTGCCTGATTTTGATAAAACTTTCATTCTCAGAACAGACGCTTCTCTGGACGGGATCGGAGCTGTACTTCTACAAGAAAACAAGGGCGAGGTATATCTGGTGGCATACCATAGCAGAAAACTAAAGCCTGCAGAGAAGAATTACAGCACGGCTGAAAAGAAATTACTAGCCGTAGTGGAAGGCATGAAGATATAATATTTTTATTTATATGTTGGGAAATTTTCTTTAGAAACAGATCACCTGCCCTTAACAAGCCTCCGCACATCTAGAAACCCAAATGAAAGATTAACACGGTGGGCGTTATTCCTCCAACAATACAATTTCATGATTCGATATATCAGAGGAAGAGCAAATGTCGGAGCAGATCTTCTTTCTGGACTAATGGTAAAGGATACAGGTAATCAGTAGATGAACCAACGTCAGAAACAGGGTTCAAGCAGCAATTACTGACGTCAATCAACGTCACATTGCGTCATAACGGGACTGGCCAAAGTGCTATGGGAGTCTTGTCGTGAGCCGTGAGCTGTGGGAGTCTTGCCGTGAGCTGTGTGCTGTGGGAGTCCTGCCGTGAGCCGTGAGAGTCTTGCCGTGAGCTGTGTGCTGTGGGAGTACTGCCGTGAACCGTTTGCTGTGGGTATCCTGCCATGAGCTGTGTGCTGTGGGAGTCCTGCCTTGAGCCGTGCGTCGTGGGAGCAATGCCGTGAGCCGTGAGCAGTGGGAGTACTGCCGTGAGCCGTGAGCTGTGGAGCTGCCGTGAGCTGTGTGTTGTGGAGGCACTGCCGTAAGCTTTGTACTGTGAGTACTGCCGTGAGCCGTGTGTTGTGAGAGTCCTGCCGTGAGCTGTAAAGCGGTGGAGCTGCCGTGAGCTGTGTGCTGTGGGAGCTGCTGAGCTGTGTGCTGTGGGAGCTGCTGTGAGCTGTGTGCTGTGGGAGCTGCTGTGAGCTGTGTGCTGGAGCCCTGCCGTGAGCCGTGTGCTGTGGAGCTGCCGTGAGCTGTGTGCTGTGGGAGTCCTGCCATGAGCCGTGTGTTGTAGGAGTGCGGCCGTGCGTCATGGGAATGCGGCCGTGCGGCGTGGGAGTGCGGCCGTGCGGCGTGGAAGTGCGGCCGTGCGGCGTGGAAGTGCGGCCGTGCGGAAGTGCGGCTGCGGCCGGGAGGCGGCTGTGCGTGTGGGGGTGCGGCCGTGCGCGTCGTGGGGAGCGGCTGTGCGTCGGGCCGTGCGGCGTGGGAGTGCAGCCGTGCGTCGTGGGAGTGCGGCCGTGCGTCGTGGGAGTGCGGCCTTGTGCCATACCAGTGTTGTGCGTTTTAATTATTAAATAGTTAAGTCCACCCTTACACGTTGTTAATACCAACCCTATTATTCTATTGGTAATGACATAACATCTGGCTTTAAGTTTATTGTGAAAAACTTATACTGAGGATTTGAGGAGAGTTGTGTATGGAACAAGAAATTTATTGTAAGTGAAAGTGAAAGGTGAGAGTAGAACGGTACGCCTTTCAGAGGAATTAGCAAGTATTTTACAGTGTTGTGTGTTTGAATTATTAAATAGTTAAGTCCACCCTTACACGTTGTTAATACCAACCCTATTATTCTATTGGTAATGACATAACATCTGGCTTTAAGTTTATTGTGAAAAACTTATACTGAGGATTTGAGGAGAGTTGTGTATGGAACAAGAAATTTATTGTAAGTGGAAGTGAAAGGTGAGAGTAGAACGGTACGCCTTTCAGAGGAATTAGCAAGTATTTTACAAACATCACAAACTCTATATTCAACACGTTTCACGGTAAGTGCTCCTACATTTAACTCGTAGCAGGATACCAGAAGTAATATTTCTAACAACAATGGAAACTTGAGAAAAAAGATCCAAGAGAGGCCAGCTTACGGCAGTCGGCCCAATGAATGCTGCTGAGTCTCAAACGTTCACGATGGAGGAGAAGTTCTACAAATAAGTAATTTAATTTATATGAAATCTTGGAAACATCGTAGATCAAGATCTTCCATAACACCAATTTTGAAATACAGAAGCCGATGAAAAAAATCTAAATATCTGTGAGCGGCGTAAGAGGAATTGAGATTTAGATGATGTTGATAAAGTGAAGACAGGAATCTACAGGACAAAAGAGCAGTACTAAAGGGACGCCATCTCACTACTTTAATATTAGATTTTTTTCAGTTTCATCCCTACTCAAGTCTCAGGTTATGATTCATTATCCAGGAAGGAGAACCATACTCAGCAAGATTAATTAATATAACTTTAACACTCATTGACCATTTTATAATTAGTGGTGGCCAGTGTAGGTAGTTGTCTAATGACGTAAGGAAGATGCGACTTGGAATGGAAGATTCTACTAATAGCTGCAAAAGCCTCAGAATTTTCCAGAAAAGTTTACCCAGAGCCAAGAGTAACCACAATAACTCCAGTGATGATACAACAATTTTTACTTGAACCAAATGTTAGAATAACAAGTAAGAAGGAACCTTGAGCACAGAGACAGGATAAAGCATCTTAATTTGCACTCCCTCGAGAGACGTAGAGTGAGGGGCGACCTGATAGAGGTGTATAAATGGAAGTCAGGGCTAAACAAAGGTGATATAACAAAGGTACTCAAACTATCCAACCAGGAGAGAACTCGTAACAGTGGTTTTAAATTAGACAAATTTAGATTTAGGCACAAAATAGATAAACATTGGTTTGGAAATATAGTAGTGGATGAATGGAACAAGTTACCAAACATCATCATTAACTCGAATATGCTGGATAGCTTCAAACACAGGTTGGGTGGATAGATGAGCAATAGGGGTTGGGTGTAAACGGGACTGCCCAGTATGGGTCAGTAGGCCCGCTGCAGTTTCCTTCATTCATATGGCACGGTTACCTTGGGGTGAAACTGGAGGGAGAGGATGCCGCAGGGTGTATGGAAGACTCTCTCAGGTGTTGCAGGGTTCTTGAGGGTGTAAAGACACAGCATGCCTGTTCCTTCTGGTCCGCCGATGTCTCCTGTTAACACAAATTTCTCATAATAATTACATAGATTTACCACTCTCTCTAATTCTACAACAACAAAACAATTGGAGCATTAGATATGTCCACAATACTAGCGGAGCTGCCTTCTTCATAGTTAACTATATAATGATAATAAATGAAGAAACATGTTCAGTATCACACCCCAAGTATCGCGCCGACAGTTATCCCCAAAAGACACAGAGCTGGACAACAGTGATACTGCTATTGCTAGCTTTAAGAATAGTAGACCTCATGAAATACTCTTTAGGTGTTCCCAAATACTCAGTTATGGCTGAAAAATAAAATCCTGGGCAAAATGGACTAACAGAAAGACTCAGGTAAATTACCTTATATATATATAACTACAAATAAAAGGTACAAGACATAATATAAATGCACTTTCTACCTAGTTGGGATTTCAGCATGAGCACCACTGACTCCCACCTAACATTCCCGAGTACAGGAAGGACAAACCTTAACAGCATAGTGGCCCAGAAAGATGAGAGAGAGACAGAGAAAGACAGAGAGAGACAGCCTGTCGACCTTGACTAATGCTGCTCAGTTAGCTCAGCCCATCAGCGCCTGTCAGATCAACGTTATTTAATTTACCAAGGAAAGATTTTAATGGGAGGAGGTAGGACTCTTCATGGGAGTGCAATAGGTAATCAACATGAGCTGAAATATATGGTGTAACAATAGGAACATATAAATTACAACAATTAAATATCTGGCAATTCAGGTGGACATGCCCATGACCTAGGGGGTAACAAAATCTGACCACGTGGTCTCAAGCACAGTGGGCCACGTGGTATGACTGATCTCGGCAACCTCTACCTTCCCTCCCAGCCGCTGCCTCCCATGGGGCAGAGCACCCTCCTGTCTCTGCTGTGGTCACCTACATCTACCATCTCACGACCGCCAGTTGTCATAAGGACTTACCGACCTACCCCCGACTCTGCCATGCGGCGTTTCGGACAATGGGTGACCCGGTATCCCTGGATTGAAGTGATCACGGTAGACGATGTGCAGAACAAGTGGGATAATTACCTGGACACTATCACCAAGGCCTACCACCACTTCTTTCCAGCCAAGACATTGAGGATCCACCCGGATGATGTCCCGTGGATTACGCCCCGTATCAAAAGACTAATTGAGCAGCGCAACAAGGCATACTACACCAACAACCACCTGTACAAAAGTCTTCGTAACCAGGTCATCAGGGAAATCAAGTCAGCCAAGAAGTCTTATTATCCCAGAAAGTGCACGGCCTCAAGCAGGTCGGCATCGGTCAGTGGTACTCTAAGGTAAAAGATCTCTGTGGTCTTAACCGTCAGTCTCCCACACTTCCTTTTATCTCTCATTTACCAAGTGAGGAGGCAGCTGAGATAATTAATAACCACTTTGCTACCATATGTCATACCCTACCCAGTCTTGACCTCACTCTCCTCCCGGCCTACTTACCTTCCCCCTCCTCCCCTCCCAGTGTTCAACCATTTGAAATCGCCAACAAACTCCTGAAATTTATATATAAATGCTCTACAACCCCAATTGACCTCCCAATCAAAATTTACAAGGAGTTTGCAGTCGAACTTGCCACCCCCCTCTGTTCTATTAATTAATGCATCCCTCAGACAAAGCAAATGTCCTAATGAAAGGAAAACCGCATTTCTCACCCCTATCCCCAAGGTCCCCACCACACAGTCCCCTATTGACCTCAGACCAGTTGCCATTACCCCCATACCCAGTCTACTCTGTGAAGATTTTGTTTTTGAATGGGCATTTGCTGGTATTTATCAGTCAATTGATCCACAGCAATTTGGCAATATGAGGACCTCCTCTACATCACACTGCTTAGTTAGCTTCCTGGATTTTCTGCAAAAAAACCTGCAGAAACGTAAGACATCACTGGCCGTTGCCCTTGTTGACTTCAGGAAGGCGTTTGACCTTGTTGATCACTGCACTGTTATCAACAAGGCCATTGCACTAGGGCTGCCCACCAACCTGGTCTCATGGCTCACTAATTTCCTGAGTGAGAGTGGTCAGGCAGTGAGGTACCAGGGTTCTGTCTCCACATTCCAACACCTCACCTGCGGTGTTCCCCAGGGGACCAAGATGGGACCACTGTGCTTCCTAATCCTGATCAACGGCGCTCGATCGGACACTCCTCACAGGTGGAGGTACGTGGATGACTGCACTGTGGGGGTTATAGTGGACAACACCTCACTGGACTACACATAGCTACAAAGCACCCTGGACAGGCTACAGGCATGGCCTACAGTGAACAAGGTCACCATCGATCACACCAAAACCGTAGTCATGCACTACAATACCGCCACCACTCCAGTGTAAGCTCCAGCAGTTACAGTGGGTGCCCACCCTCTCCAGTTAGTGAAGTCTGCCAAACTCCTGGGGATAACTATAGACCACAAACTGGACTGGAAGGCCCATGTAAACAACGCAATCAAGACAGTCTCATACCGACTCGACATGCTACGACGACTTAGGTGACTTGGGGCACCCACGTCAGAGCTGAGGACTATCTACAACGCCTTTATTCTCCCCAAATTAATGTATGCGTCACCAGCCTGGTCGTCTTCTCTCAACTCTACCCAAGAACGTCAGCTAGAGAAGGTACAGAAGAGGGCCTGCAGAATCATGCTCAGCGCAGACTACTGAAGCTACAACAACGCTCTCTCCACACTGGAAATGCCATCCCTCAGTGACCTCCACCACCACCCACTTGCAGGATTTGGCAGTGGCCTACTGCACCATCATCGTCATCGCCACCTACTGCCACCGGCAGTTCCCCACCCACCTCGCGCAGTCCGGCACTACAACAAATTTCAGCCCATAAGAGCCCGCGCTGATAAATATAAGAACAGCACCATCCCATCTATTGATAATATGTTACATAAATTTATTTGTCAGTGGCCCAAGGTTAAAAATGCTTTGAAAACCTTGGATCTAGATGTATGATAGTTATTTAGTGGGTCCCTTATTTTTGACCTGACCTGACTAGTCACGTCGCCCCCTTCTCTTAAGCTCCTCTACGTGTGTGTTGGTGTGGGGATTAGTGGATGACATCATTATGACCTGACCTCATGTTTAATAAGGTCACCCTGTATATTTAAGCCTCTCTCTGTCCATGTAATCCAGTTGCCTCTGAAGATGTCTTGAATAAAGACGAAAGCTAAGGTGCTCTGTTGTTTCCATTTTCCCGTGTGATTTTATCAAGATTTATCTTATCCACGTTTTCATTGTGGATTTACATGAAATATATATATATATATATATATATATATATATATATATATATATATATATATATATATATATATATATATATATATATATATATATATATATATATGTCTATGAGAATCTCGGAAACTACTTTACCGATCTGTACGTTATAAGATGGATGTGTATATATGTATATATATATATATACTATATATATATATATATATATGATATATATATATATATATATATATATATATACGCCTGATAGTGAGTGAGAAGATGATGGATGGTGTATATATATATATATATATATATATATATATATATATATATATATATATATATATATATATATATATATATATATATATATATATGGAGTTCTGCAATTCAGTCAAGTCCGTCAAGTATGTCTGCAAATACGTCAACAAAGGCTCTGACCAAGCGATCTTTGCATTGGAAAAGGGTGGAAATCATGATGAGGTGACACAGTTTCAGCAAGGCCGTTATATATGCAGCAATGAAGCCCTATGGAGAACTTTTAGTTTTCCCATACACGAACGATGTCCAACAGTAGTTCATCTGGCTGTTCACCTGGAAAATGGACAAAGAGTATACTTCACAGAAGAGTCCCTCCAAAATCAAATGGCAAATCCTGCTGATACGACCCTCACTGCATTCTTCAAACTTTCACAGGAAGATGAGTTTGCTCAAATACTCCTGTATGTTGACGTACCCAAGTTCTACTTTTGCACCACATCCGTAGCCCAACATCATATGCAGCACTCAAGACAGTGAATGGACAAGTCTGCAGAACTTATCAGGAAGCGTGCAATCTCCTTGGCCTACTGGAAGATGATGGTCACTGGAATGACACATTAGAAGAGGCAGCAGCTACTCAATCGCCAATGAGAATGAGGAACCTGTTTGCCATCATGATTGCTACATGTGGACTTTCCAACCCAAGCCAGCTCTGGAAAAACCACCAAGAAAGTCTTTCAGAGGATCTGCTTCATCAAGCAAGAAGAGAACATCCTGGTCAAGAGATTGAGTTCATGGATGACATGTTCAACAGGGCTCTGATCATGCTGGAAGACAAAGTGATGGAGCTATGCGGAAAAAACCTGACTGATTTTGGATTGCCTTCCCCAAACCGAGAAGAACCAGTAGTTGCAAACAGGGAGTTGCTCAGAGAGACAGACTACTCAGTTGAAGTTCTGGTGAATTTTCTTGAAGAAAATGAGCCTCACCTGGTGCCTGATCAAGCAAATGCTTATGAACAGATCTTGCAAGCGATACAAGCGGAGCAGGGAGGTATGATCTTTCTCGATGCACCTGGCGGGACAGGAAAAACATTCCTGATCAACCTTCTGTTGGCCAAAGTACGTCATCAGGGGAAAATTGCACCAATAACAGCAGCCGGTACGAACGTCAGAAAATTTACAGAGTCCAGGAAGAAGAAAACAACGGTAAACGCGTGCGATTGAGTGAACCTTTCCCCATATCACATTATTGGACGTATCTAATGACATTCGTTTAAAAACTGAATGACAACTTGAAAAAAAACAATCAATAAGGAAATGGATGACACATTATAATAATCATTAAATAAGGGTCCTCATCTGTTACTCAATCAAGCATGTAAACCGGAGACAATATAGTGAGAAAAAAAAAATACGCCTATCCTTCTCATCCTTCTTTCATGAATTTCCCTGGTTTCTTAAATCCTTTCTTCTCTGAGGAGCAACTTGCATCGCATACCACCCCCTCCCCCCCCAACAAACGGCCCTCTCCTGAGTCGACCATCTCGCTCTCCAACCCACGAGAATTGCCCCACAGAAAGGATCCAACCAGGCACGTGGGTCAGGTGGTGGCGTGGATGATCACTTGTGACTGCGACTGTACATATTTTTTTTTACTTCCCCAAGAGCAGAAATTATTATATTTCATCATAAAATAGTAATTATTTCTTAAAATTTTCAGAATAGTAAGGAACTGCAATGAATTTTCCCAAGTCCATCCGTCAGTCATTCAGGAGCCTTGTTACACACTGACCCTAGGCCCCAGTTGTAAGCCTCCAGCGAGCAGACTATAGTTGGTCCATCTTAAATAAGACTTTTAGTGCTGCCTCAAATGGAGCTCTACACTTCTCTTTGGTCTCCAAGATATACCGAAGACGACTAAATGACTGATAACGTCCAGTATATTTAAATTCAGTATAAAGAAGACAGAAGCCAATTGGTGCCATAACATATACACGTTGCTCATCAAAAGAAAATTAAACGTTTACTGTATAATTTACTTTTGTATACAAAAAAAGACAAGGAGTGATACTGATAATAGAAGTGTATAAGAATTGCTCAGGCAAATGTACGCGCCTGGGAGTAGGTAGTAAACAGCTACCAAACAGGGTTGCTGATCTGACTTTCTGCCTCATTTACACACAATTGCAGGGTCTCAATTGTTTCTCTTACTATTGACAACACAACATACATATATTGTTTCTCACTATTGATTTTTTTGTATTTCTTTATTATTATTATTATTATTATTATTATTATTATTATTATTATTATTATTATTATTACTATTATTATTATTATCATTATTATATTATTATTTTATTTTCAAATTTGTATTATTTACTATAAATTTTATTTACCATGAATTATTATTATTATTATTATTATTATTATTATTATTATTATTATTATTATTATTATTATTATTATTATTATTATTATTATTATTATTATTATTATTATATTTTCGCCCCCCAGGCCCCGATGTGGGTTAGTGACCTGTGCCCTGGGTGGGCTAATACACGTAAAAAAAAAGAAAAACAGAGTGAAAGAAGCTGTCTTCGCTGTAAGAGTCGTGAAGCTGGGCAGTAATTTTTTAACAAATGCTGTGATATCAAAAATTCAGAGTTCTTTAATGTCTAGCCTTTCAGTAATACTGGAGTATATTCAGGTAGACACAAACACACAGGAGTACACGTCCAGTACTCAGGCTCAAAAGAGTACAAAAGAGAATGCCCGACGACTCGACCAGCTAGTCAGCCGACCAGTGGTGAGGAAGGTATAGGTAAGTGCATAATGAAGCAACCAGGTGAATGATTTTAAGTGTTGCACATAAGAAGAATATTCTGTATATTTCCTACTACAATTAATATCAACAGTAAAGTTACTGATCTATAACAGAAGAATATATGAACCCAAAATAAGAAGTTGGCTTCCAAAATCATTATTTATGTCCTTGTATATAAACTTATGTGTGTATTGTTCATAAGAAATCTCTACTTCAAACTCCTCGTCGTGTACTGTCCTGGTGAATATTATTGATGAGGTTAACATCAACACTCGATATTTTCTTACAAAAACATATATAAATAGTTTACTTTTGTTCCCTTCTGCTGCTACCACCGTCTTAGCTTCCTAGCTGTAGGAATAGACAGAAGCAGAAATATCGACATCAACTCATGTCGGACACCTGCTGCCCACCATCCGGAGTCTATCACCCATTCTGTCCATAATATTCATCCCCATCGAAATATTATTAGCCGGTGAAATGGTCTGGACTGTTGGATTCCAGACCATTCTATATACAGTATACTACTCACCCACCAACACTGAAAACCTATCCTTCGCCCACTGACCGGCCGTGTAAGCAGCGGCGAAGAGGTCGGGGTAGATGGGGCTCCAGCATACGTCAGAGACAATGAGTGAACGAGACTTGTCGTGATGGAACTTCCACAGCGGCAACAACGACCCCTCCAGCGGCCGGAACTCATCTCCTCCATCCTCCCAGTACTTGAAATCTGAAACATATATACAGCTCTTGCTAATAAGTTTCTCGTTGATCCAAAGTGTGTGTTTGGGGGGGGGGGGGATGCTATACTGACAATGACAATAATAAATGAAATATGAGGGGCATAGTTATTTCAGTTAATATAATAGTAATTTTGAATTATATTTGTATTGCACAGTAACTATACATTTTGTTGTGATTATTACGAAAGTACTTGTAAACATTTAAAGTGTCGAGGATGGAGCAGAAGCTTCTCCCCAAATTTGCAGATGAAGTGATGGTGATGATCAGAGAGAGGGTCAGTGTGTTGAGCGCCTTCTGATATGTGGAGTAGGAAGGGGAGAGAATAATGGTGTACGCCCACTTCTGTACTTTTTCTAGGTGTTTCCGTTGTGTGGCTATTAGGGAGGAAGACAAGGCAGGGAAGCATAGGTAAGCTTGGGAAGTATAAATGTTGAGTAAGCACTGAGGAGCTCGGGCGAGGGAGCTCCGAGTGACTTAAGACGGCGGAGGAGGTGAAGACAAACACTGCAGTATTTGACAATTGCATTGACGTTGTTTTCCAGGTTAGTTTGTTATCTATAGTGACGCCGAGGAGCTTAGTGAAGCACACAACCTGGAGTGTGTTGGGACCTAAAGTGATGAAGGGAGGTGGGACAAGGTCACAGGAGAGGTTGATGTGCATAACCATGGTCTTGGTATGGTTGATGGATACATGGTTGTTGGTGGCCCAATTTTGGAGACAATATATTCTGGAAGGCGCTGTAGTCGGGAGCCAAGTTGTTCACGCTGCCCCAATGGTGAAGTCGTCGACTCATTCCCAACGAGCGGGAGTTTCTCTCAGGGCATCATTGATAAGGATGAATAAGTCGAACGGTCCCATCTTGGTGCCTTGAAGGACACCTCAAGTGATTGACTGAAAGGTGGAGACAGCCCCTCAGAAGTATGTAAGCCATGGTATAAGACTTCTCCGAAACCCTAGGTCGATAGATTTGTTGATGATTAAATTGTGGGCGAATAGGCCAAATGCCTTGGTAAAGTCATTGAAGGCGACAGCCACAGACGTCTTTCAATTTTTCAAATGGCGGTATATACAGTCGAGAAAGCTGACAAGACAATGAGTGGTGGTGAAAGTTTTCACATTGACAAATTGCTGAGAATCTATGACATCTGGAATATCAGCATAAGCCCAGTCAAAAAGAAACTTTCACAGATTAAGCTGGGTATTGGGGGTGATGGCAATGGGTCGTATCTCATTTCAGGATTGTGGGTTCGTTGACTTGGGCACTGGTGACATATATAAGGTCTTCCGGTCTGCTGGGCATCTTTCTTGGCTGAAGGAAGCATTGATGATGGAGCAGAGGGGTTTAGCTACATGTAGTTCCGGGGAGAACTCCTTGTAGAGTTTCATCAGTAAGTCAATGGGGGTGGTGGAGTGCTTTAACTTCAGTTTGTCCTAACGTCTTGTTACTTAAAATTCTTCCATTAAGGTTGTTAGATAGCTCAGCTGCATCACCATCAGTGAGGTGGTTTAGGAAGGGGATGGATCTTATTGTCTAGTCCACATAGTTCTTTAAGCTTCCCAAACCATTGACTGTTGTTGGTCTGCTTCAGGTATTGCAGCTTGGTTGGGTAGTAAGACTTCTTTGCAGCGCGCATTTCACGGATGACTTGGTTGCGAAGGAACCTGTAGCGGTTGTTTTCATTGAGATAAAATGTGCTGTTCTCTGCTGCATAAGAATTTTGATCCGAGGTGTGATCCAGGGCAGGTCAGTTGGGTGTGATCTGGCGGACTTCTCAGGGAAGAAGTGGTGGTGAGCTTCCGTGGTGGTGTTGGTATAATTTATCCATTTGGTGTCCACGTCAACCACACTAAGCACTTCAGTCCAGGGATGGTGAACTATCCACTGCCCGAATATAAGCATTGCAGAGTCAGTAATCGGTCTGTAGGCTTTGATGTAAAGGCTGGAGGCCAAAACACTAACAGGTGTGTACTACACCCGATAGGAAGCAGTGGCTGATTCCTCTAAGTCAGTTAAGATAAAGTTAAGGTGTTTTGACCGTGTATAGGCAAGTTGTGATAGTAGTAGCTGTTCCTCAATATCAGTGGTGTCAATTTCATTAGAATTATCACTTAGTACTAGCTAGGCACACAGGTACCTAACGCTGAGGTGATCTGAAGGGTAATGAGGTGATTGGTAAGGGCGTCTCTGGTGGATGAGTGAGACGGGTGGTATACCACACAGTGCATCCACATTAGCTTGCTAAAACATCCATGCACGACGGCTGTAGTTCATCTTAAGAGAAGAGGGCATATGTACGGAGGTGGAGGAAGTGTTGATATCCCTCAATATGGCAAGTTTCAGGGACAATTTGCCACACCTCACAGATGGCAACGACGTTAGCAGTAACTGACCTATCTGTGGTGGGCAACTCGCCAAATTTGATGGTGAGGGAGGTAACGCTGGAGAGTAATAAGGAGGAGAAAATGTACAATATTTTGGGAACTTCAGTGTATTAGTATGGTCTGTCAGGAGTAGGGTTCCTGGGTGTCTACTGGAGGAGATGGTCCGGATGGGCTCCTGTATATAACGTCCTTGTCTATGACTACGAGATTAAATATGTTCGGTGATCTATAACATAATACCACTGCTGTGTGTGTGTGTGTGTGTGTGTGTGTGTGTGTGTGTGTGTGTGTGTGTGTGTGTGTGTGTGTTTGAAACACAAAAATTTGCAGATCAGCACAAAATGTGCAAATATTTCAAATCCCCCAAAACATTTTATAGACCAATCACTCGTGTGGCAGTCTCCTTCCTCTCATCCAACGGTAACTCCATACCGGAACACCGATGTGGCTGTCCTGACTACCTAGCAGGTCCCTCAGCATCTACAGTAGAGCTGACCCATCTCAGCTATCCTTCATCCCTGGATGAGGTAGCTACTACCATCAAACAGATGAAAAATAACAAAGCCTGAGGGCCTGATGGAATCCCAGCCGAGGTGTACAAAGCAGGAAGACCTGTGCTTACCAGCCGTCTCCACTTTCTCCTGAAGAATATATGGGAAAAGGAGGAAATCCCCCAAGCTCTTAAAGACGCCTCCATCGTCAATATATATAAAAACAAGGGAGACCGGAACGATGCTGCGGGTCTTGTATCGGTCTCTTTAGTCACTTCAAAACTCACTCACCTAGGTCACATCCCTAATAACTCATATCATTGTATCATAGCTGGATGATCGTCATACTCGATTCCGAGTGACAGCAAAGTAGTAGTAGTAGTAGTAGTATGTGTGTTTGTGTGTGTGTGTGTGTGTGTGTGTGTGTGTGTGCACACAGGGTAGTGTAGTGCACTTAGTGTGGCAGCATTATATTAGTGTTAAAGTGCAGGCACTGATTGCTTCCTCTTGCTTTTAGCTACCGCCGCTGGCTAGCCCTCATGGCGAAAAGGGAAGCAGCCTTGTGTAAGTCTTCCCCTGCCAGTACACAGTCTCATCACCATCAAGACTCCTGGTGTGCCTCTTCATGGCAACACATGGTAACAGGGTGCCTCGCTGCCCCATGCTAAACCAGCAGGGGCAGTGGGCTCAAATGGGATGGCACATGGGCCCACTGGCATGTGGTGCCTACCAAGCACTGCCTTGCTGCCTTGAGGATTAACCTTTGTAGGTATAAGGCTACAGGAGTAAATGCCAAACAAAAAATCCTGTGGCGGAGGCCCGCATCAGGCACACATGGTTATAGAGCTCCAGTAAGACCACAACGACAGAATAGGCAGAAGAGGTGACAAACATGGGAACCCAATGACTAGACCGGCAGAAAACGGCAATGCATTGCTGGACGGGCTGCTAACACGAGACCCAACAAACTGGGCTATCGGCTGTCCATTGCAACTCTCCCTCTCCCCAGTCGTTGCATCTTCCTGCACCACTGTATCTGGAAAAGGGAGAGCCAAGATGTGTGGGCGCAGTTTGCACTCCTGTCTCTCCACATAAATCACCGCCATCATCCAGCTTATAATACTCTTCATTATCATCAAAACTCCTATACCCCCAAAAGTTCTATGGCGACGGACGAGTGGCGACGGGGACGGGCAGAGATGACTGCCAGGGGTGTTTGGTCGCAATTCTGCACATCGCCGGCATAAATAAGATGGTTGCTTATGCACTTGAATCTAGGCAGCAGTGCAATCTGGTCTTATCTGTACGAGTGAGCAGCCCTTTCCAGAAGCCACTATGCTCACCCCACATGGGTAGGGGGCTAGAAAGCGTACCCTAAACATACCCTTCCATAAACAAGCAACCTCTATGGGCAACTGCACCCAGTAAGGTCATTCTAATGTGGTCGAAAACATAATTATAACCACAGATCAAAGCAAAAACAAACTATACAACCTTTTATGGTCGCTGCATGGAATGTCAAGACCATTTTGGATTCTGGCACAAATGAGCGTCCCGAAAGAAGAACCGCACACGTGGCAAGAGTGCTGTCTAGAAATAGCATCGACATAGCAACCACTACTGAGTCTTGACTCCCAGACAGGGTCGACTCACAGAACTGGGGTCCGACTATACCTTATGCTGCAGAGAGAAACAGCATTTATGGATCTGGCTTTGCCATTCGCCAATCCATCCTACATAGGGTAACTGAAATGCATCTTGGGATAAATGAGCGCTACATGATGCTTCGAGCCTCACGGGATCACTTACGTCATGCCTTCTTCATCAATGCATTACCCCCTAACACTGGATGAAGAGGAGGACATCAAGGAGGCCTTTATCCCGATCTTGATTGTGCTAATTTCTATCCCAGAGAAGATAAGTTTGTGCCCTTAAGTGACTTTAAGGCCAGAGTTGGTAGAGATGTTGACATATGACAGGGATAGGGAGAAACGGAGTAGGCAAGAGTAATCCCAACGGCCTCCTCCTCCTCCTCAACAAGTGTGCTGAACACAACAGTCTTTAGGCAGTCCGACAATTTTAAGGGTTCTTGGCAACATGCACAATCCAAAC